ATGAATTTATGATACCATAATAGGAATACAATATATACATTGTTGACTCACAATTTTATTAATTTAGAATTTAATGGGAAGGAATTAATGCACTAGGATGCCAGTTAAGGGGTGGTGATATTGATATAAACTCCTAAATAATGCAATGGTTTTAATACATGCATGATGTTCTGTGGAGAACTAAGTTAATTCAAAATTAGATTACATACACCAAAATTAAATAGTCATCATACAGAGTTTAATCAACATCTCTGAAACAAGGTGTAAGGATTCCTGCTTTTCTCTATGAGCCAGTTTAATCTTACAGAGCATTCACTATCAATTAGAACACTGACAGTTTATTCTATGTTTAATAAAGATAAACTGGCGTAAAACAATTAACACATTGCTTTCACTTGGAGTGTGATATGACCCAAAGTTGATTTGTTGTATCTGGGGGTGGGGAGGACAACTCAAGGAAAAAGGAGAGAGATTAATATGGTAATTAATCACTATGTTGTTTTCAATGCAATGATTAAGGGAATGAATAGACCTTTTACACCATATAATAGTGGTATAAAGTGCATAAGTTATTTTAAAACTATCTTTTTTTTTAATATAATTTTATGAATAGGTGAGTGTATTATTGAAAAACTGTGTTTGCTTTAAACTCTGAACCTAACAGCTCTTGGTAATTAAACTGTATTTAAACAGCCATTAAGACCGACTTTTAATCTGTTGATTAATTAGGTTCAACAGTTTCCAAACGTTTTCAAAGAATAGGGGTTATATTGTCAGTATTCAATACTGATGTAATATTCCCAAGTTACAAATATTTACACAAGTTTCAGAAACTTACAAATGTTAATTAGGTCATAGTACTTATGAAATTGTCAATCTGTTTAGTTACAAGACATGAAACAGCCAACAATCATACAAAAAAGAATGAAATACTTTTATACTAATGGAATTTCTTGAACATCTTTTTCCATTCATGTTTTTGAAGAAAAAAAAATTAGACTCCGAAATTTGACTCCAAACTCCACTCCATAACTCCACTCCATGCCTCCAGTCCATGAATTACACGGTTCCCATTTTTTGAGATTCAATGCCTAGTGGCATATGTTTATGCATTATATTAACAGAATTTGAAATAGGACCTAAGTTTCCTGTGCGTTTTATATTCGTCTGGTATTGAATGACAGGACAATGAATGCATTGTTATTAAGGCTAAGAAATAAAATTATGCACGTGTGTCGCTGTACTATTTAAGGAATGTGAAAGGGTTCCTCCATAAGTTATATTTCCCATTATTTGCAGATTCCCGTTGTTTTATATTGTTTACTTCACTTATCACCTCAAAGGTATGAAATATCGGTGGTCGCCATGGTTGACGTCAGTTTAAGTTTCATATCCTACACACCTGAAAGTACCTGTGTCCTCGGTAAACAATGAGAAACGTGTCGGCTATGTTAGTTGTCCCTGAACTAACCCAGATATAAACAGAGACTTTTATATATTTATATATATATATATATAATAACAGATTCTGGTATTTAAATTATCGATAATACTCTGTTGAAGGTACATCTTAGGTGATTTGTGCAAACGTCACGTGCAGTCTACTAAATCTGTAATCGAACTGCAGAAAGTAAACATTACGTCATGTCTAATCGATGAAACACAACTTCCCAGGATCAATTTAAGACATATGGGGAGCGGGGGGGGGGGATAAATTATGCCATGTTAAAAAACAGGAATAGATGAATTCACGTGATTTTTAAAAACAACACATGCTTTCCGATAAAAACCGCAGACACTATGCTATTTTTAGATTACAGGAGCTGAATGACTGGGCAGCGCCTCATCAGTAACTTAAGGGATTTCCGGAGTCTAAATATATTAGTCATTCAGCACATTTTCTGAAACTTCAGTGTAATGGCATTCAGGTTCTACTTATCAGAAATATAATTATGCATATCGATTTAGTTTCTTTGGGCTTTTCTTGGAATCTTATATAAATACAGATACAATGTAGGTAGGTCACCGTAAGATTTTAAAAATTGCTGCACGGTCGGCGTGTCATTATCGTGCATTTGGAATAGGACCAAAAATTTTAACAATACCTAAACAATTCAAATTATTCATAAATAAGTGCTGTACTTATCCCCATCTTTTTAATTTATAGTATGAAAACACGGAAAGGTATCCATAGAGAAAATTCAGCAAGGTGTATAAGAATTTGAATCAAAGTTGCACCCCTCCCCCCCCCCCCCCCCCAAAAAAAAGGTTCTGGACAACAAACATTAAATTTTAGTATGCTAATATTCTCTTTTGAGAAATACTGTACATAAACCGGCATAACCTTCAACAAGAGGCCCATGGGCCACATCGCTCACCTGAGCACATTGGCTAGGGGGAAAAAAGCAAAAATCAGTTTAGTATTGAAAAGTTAACGAAGGGGGGGGGTGAATTTTAAAGTACCTGATGATGTTTTCATATCAATATAACAAATGGCATTGCTGTTCTTGAACAGAAGATTTTTTCCCATATATTCATTTGTAAAAATTTGATCCCCATTGTGGCCCCACCCTACCCCAGGGGTCCCTCATTTGAACAAATTTCATTCTACACTACCCAAGGATGCCTCCATATCAATTTTACTAATCATGGCTTTTCTGTTCTTGAGAAAAAGATTTTTCCTGTATACTTCTATGTAAAACTTTGATCCCCCATTGTGGCCCCACCCTACCCCCATGGGGTCATAATTTGAACAAATTTGAATCTACACTACCTGAGGATGCTTCCATATAAATAGGAACAATTATGGCTTTGCTGTTCTTGAGAAGAAGATTTTTTAAGATATTTTCCTATATATTTCTATGTAAAACTTTGAACCCCCATTGTGGCCCCACCCTACCCCCAGGGGTCATGATTTGAACAAACTTGAATCTACACTACCTGAGGAAGCTTCCATATAAATATGACCAATCACAGCTCTGCTGTTCTTAAGAAGAAGATTTTTAAAGATATTTTCCTGTATATTTGTATGTAAAACTTTGAACCCCCATTGTGGCCCCACCCTACCCCCGGGGGTCATAATTTGAACAAACTTGAATCTTAACTACCTGAGGATGCTTCTATATAAATATGACCAATTATGGCTTTGCTGTTCTTAAGAAGAAGATTTTTAAAGATATTTTCCTATATATTTCTATGTTAAACTTTGATCCCCCATTGTGGCCCCACCCTACCCCCGGGGGTCATAATTTGAACAAACTTGAATCTTAACTACCTGAGGATGCTTCCATATAAATATGACCAATCATGGCTTTGCTGTTCTTAAGAAAAAAAATTTTAAAGATATTTTCCTATATATTTCTATGTAAAACTTTTATCCCCCATTGTGGCCCAATCCTACCCCCGGGGTCATGATTTGAACAAATTCGAATCTACACTACCTGAGGATGCTTCCATTTAAATATGACCAATCATAGCTTTGATGTTCTTAAGAAGAAGATTTTTAAAGATATTTTCCTATATATTTCTATATAAAACTTTGATCCCCAATTGTGGCCTCATCCTACCCCTAGGGGTCATGATTTGAACAAACTTGAATCTACACTACCTGAGGATGCTTCCATATATTTATGACCAATCATGACTTTGCTGTTCTTAAGAAGAAGATTTTTAAAGATATTTTCCTATATATTTCTAAGTAAAACTTTGATCCCCCATTGTGGCCCCACCTTACTCCCCGGGGGTTATGATTTGAACAAACTTGAATCTACACTACCTGAGGATGTTTCCACATAAGTTTCATCTTTCCTGGCCCAGTGGTTCTTGAGAAGAAGATTTTTAAATGATGCCATTATTTTTTCACTAATTCCTAATTATCTCCCTTGAAAGAGGGCGTGGCCCTTCATTTGAAAAAACTTGAATCCCCTTCACCCAAGGATACTTTGTGGCAAGTTTGGTTGAATTTGGCCCAGTGGTTCTTGAGAAGAAGTCGAAAATGTGAAAAGTTGACAGACGGACGACGGACAAAATGTGATCAGAAAAGCTCACTTGAGCCTTCGGCTCAGGTGAGCTAAAAACACTAAGCCGATTCATCGACTAGGCAAAAGAGAATAAACCAAAGATAGGAAAGGGGGACTTTTATGGAGCATTAGGGTAAATATTCACGAATGTCATATTCACGATCTAGAATAAATAGTGCATGGAATAGAAAACTGGTGGGATTTTTTTATTTTACATTCAAGGCCATCATTACCCATAAATATTAAGTTTCACAGTAGTAGTTTATTGTTACATAATTCGTCAACAAGATCTAAAAGTAGCACAAAGCGACTTTACATTTTCAGAAAATGAACTAGCAAATACTCGTATCGACCAGCCCCTATATACCTGGATCCTTGCCAGGTGGTAGAGAGACAATATTGTTAGATAACATGATTTGTTAGTCTTATTTCTGTGCACTGTTCGATGATTAATGGGAATTACTGCAGCTCAGGCATAACACTTTAAAATTTTTTGAACAAATCTTCATTCTATAATTGTTTGGGGTGCAATTACTTTTGAACACCTGACAACTCTTAATCACACTGACTAACTAACATAAAATTGACAGACTTTTATTTTTTTCCCCTTGAAACTATATATGTTTACATCTAAATCCCACTGAAAATTTTAAATTGAACTTGAATTTGTTCTGTGGGATGAAAGCAAATGCCATCGTCTGATGAGCTATTGACCCCCCCCCCCTGTCTTAAAAGTACTTTCTGAAGGATAACTTTGATAAACTTTATCAAGAGGAAAATAGGTCTACTTGGCCTAGTTTTGCCCATCTTCACCACAATTGCAAGGATTTTTTTAAAGTGTTGAACCCCATTCCCACTTCAACCAAAAATGGGGGGGGGGGGGGATAAATGTGTCCATGAGACAATTTTCTCTTCAATGTGATGGTTATATATATGTGCTGCTAAAAACAGTAAAAAAAACCCCATATCATTCTGTTGTAGGGATTCACGACATTTTACCTGAAAACGAACACAGAAATTCAGCGCAACAACTACGTGTATCGTGCATTAGAGAGATGTCTGCCTAAGGACTTGGTGGAGAAAATTAGATGGCTCACATTATGCAAGGATAGAATGGCAAGTAGATATCTAAAATTGTTGTGAAATTCCTCTGATTATTTTTCGAAATGTAAAAAATGCACAGAAGAAAAAAAATAGACCTTGGCTTTAAATATTTATATTTTTGTGCATGTTAAGCAGAGACGGCACGCAAATGTCTCGTCACGTGTGTGAAAAATTGATAAGAGGGTCTTTTGTATAGATTTAATGTACTAATCAGAATTACAGACTAGCTATTTAAGGTGGTACACAGAATAAAAGAAGTTAATTTTAGAGCCCATGCAGAGTTTAAAATTTCAAAACAAGCATGGAGACCTTAGTTTTAAATTTCCAAAACCAGAAGAAGACTTGAGTACATTTTTTCCACATGAGCAGTTGGATAGAACAGTTCGAAAACAGATAGAGGCAGTTGGGGCATTTTGAAATTAGTCAATATTTTTTTTATTCCTTGAACTTAGTCTCTCAAGTGTAATTTTATATAGATAGTCAATTGATTCTTGCAGTCTACAAATATTATTGAACACTGACAAGTCATGACTCTGCAGTATACATGTACACTGCACGTGGTTCAATGGTGCACTGTATATGCATGAGGTCTAGTTTCATAGATACGGCATGTTTTGACGGATGAAGGTCAATCGACAGGTATGTTTGGGGCGGTTGAGGGATTCTTACATAGATAAAATAAGAATTGATTTTTTTTTCAGGGAGCTGTGTTTGACTTTCCTTCGGATTGTGAAGCTCAAGTCCTTGATTACTGGGCGGATGGAAAATATGACTCCTTGTGTAGGGCCACCGAGCTCCCAGAATTACAGGAAAGGGACAGACCGTTCTCCTCGGGCGCCCGTGGAGGAAGGGGGAGGGGCTTCGGTGGTGGACGTGGAAGAGGCTCGGGATTTTCCGATAGGTTTTCAGGGGGTAATAGAAGAGGGGGATTTAATGGGAGGGGCGGATTTAAAAGATCTGCTGAATTTGGTGGAGGAAATCCACAAAACAAAAAGATTCGATTTTAATGTTAAATATATTTACGTATATATAATGTGCAATAAATTAGAATCAAAAAGTTCCCTGATTCTGTTGTTCATTGATTTATATAGGTTGTAAGGAATTCTTTGAGAAGTTAAATGTAGTTTGTATGTTTTGTGTCTTTTAAAAGTAGACACTATTCAATCTACACCGATACGTGGAATTCGTCTGAAATAGTATTTATGGCAGTATTAATCTGAACTTGTTGCAATTTTTGCATTTCACGAGCTCAACAAAAGATGACTTTAATTATTTATAAGTGAGTTTCTCTTATCTAAGTTTGACGTTTATTTGTTTACGTCCGTTCATGTTTCGACGTTACAGTTGCAGTAAAAGACTGCAAATTGAGACCTGTATACTCGGCAGTTGTAGGGGAAGGTAGGTACCACCACTCAGTGTCTGATTAATTCTTTCCTTCCTAGTGGAAGACGCATTATTTGTTTTCAGCATTTTCAAAGACACATTATTACCAAAATCTTCCACCCCCCTCCACACACACTCTCTTTAGAATCAAATGGTCGTCGTCTTACTTTGCGGCTCTTAAAACGAAACGTTCTAACCATTGCGCCAGGAGGGCGACCAGCTTTCATGTTAAAGCTCAAGCAACAATATTGGTAGAGAATCTAGTTAAATGGGGCATTTGAGTGTATTTTTGTGCGTGTGCTGTTTTTGAGACACGAGTACTGTTTGACTTTGGTGTCTTAGAATTACTACAGTGATGCACAGTGGTCAGAGAAAGAAGTCCTGTTGGTTTTGGGGTAAAAACAAGGTCAAAGATAAACATCAAATCATTGGTAGGTTGAAAGTTTTGTGGATACAAATTAAGGTTTACCGGGTCCCCTTGGATATATATTCTGTCTTGGGCTTTTTATTAAAGATAGTAATTAGAGTAGAGAGGAACAAACCTTTTGTTGTTGGGGTCAAAAGGTCATAGTAAAATTGTTGGTTTCAGTGAGCTTAAAGGAATGAGGAGGGTAAAATTATGAATACTGTACATATACCCCCCTCCCTTTTTTAAAGGTTGATAAACTTTAAATGCCTCGTAGGAAGCAATAACACTCCAGAGTGATCAGAAAGGGAGTTATCTGCTACAGGTGGGATTACATAGTGATAAGATTACGATTTCTAGAAAATCAATCTGGACTTTCCATGTAGTAACCTACTTAATTTTTTTCTGACCAACGTTCAATTTATAGGAAAGAGGGATAAAATATACCCGATCTTCGAAAATTTGATGAACTTGGAATGATAACATTGATAAGAAATGTCCAGAGACATACTTATCCATTTATTCCCGGTCCTTAATACAACAGAACGGAACATTTATTTTCTAATTTAGAGCCCATAATAGACAAGTATGAAATTATTACAATAATAAGGAAAAGATATGCCGATGGATAGTATAACAATTTGTAAATGACATTGCTCATTTCAACAATAATATTGTACTATTTCAGTTAAAAGGAGCACTATATATTAAAGTGTATGGCTACTACAACATGTTATCATTTATGAATTTGCCCACAAAATTAAGTTTCTTTGTCTTCAGTATCGAGTAACCAAAAACGTTTTTGTTCATCATCTAACGCCGAGAAATTTGGAAATTTACTTTTAATTAACTGAAAAATTTCTTTTCTTTGATGATCATATTTTTAACAATGAGACACCTATAAAGTAGTTCGTATGTCTGCAAAAAAAAATCTTTAGAATAGATTCAATTTTTTTGCAGAGCATAGCCTCGAGAATTACGGCTAAAATTAATTGGGTCAAATATAGGAAAAACAAGGTAAATGTTTTATAAGGAAGCTCTAAACACTGCACACTAAAGAGTTCTATTTGTAGGGTAATTTTATTGAGTTAGAGTGATCTGCCCTTAGAGGAAAAATAGAATAAATGGGAATCTACATTTAATGACACAATTTCTTAAGAATCAAAGTATTCTTAATGTTATGTTAGACCAAGATTAAGTAATTGAATACATTATTTCCATTAATTTTCCCGATGCACGTAAACAGCAGTGATTTCTGTTCACAAATAGTTCATTGTCTTTGAACATTTTTTTTTCTGCAGAAGTAAGGTAGGCACCCTATGTTGAAAATGAACTAGGTACACTGAATATGTGCACCTTTATATGATATATTTTTCTCAAAGTCTAAAAAGCATTTTTCATTAGTGTTTAGAACTTCCTTAAAATTGTCTTTTTGAGAACAGCGGCACAATTAGTACAGCTAATAGGAAAGGTTTCCCATGTACTTAATAATCAACAAAAATAAGTGTCTCACATTGGATTTCGGGGCTAGATAGGCAACGAAAGCAGACCAATGTCAAGGGCGGATCCAGGGCCTGCGCGCCGGGCGTGCGCCCCCTCCCCCCCCCCCCGTTTGAAGTTTTTGCATGTAGAACTTATATGTCCATCATCCTAAAATCAAGGAAACAACATCTCTTATTTGTAAGAATTTGTCAGCTTCAGGGGGCTTCGCCCCCGGACCCCCCTTGCCCTATACCCACTGGGGACTTCAATGCAACCCCCAGACCCCCCCCCCCCCGCCTTCTACTGCGCCCCCCCCCCCCGTTACGAAATTCCTGGATCCGCCACTGAATGTGTTACATATAGACGCACTGGCGGATTTTAAGCGGACAACCTCTCCCTTTTTTGACCAAAATAATGCATATGAAGATTACGAAACCAATCTTTTGTTGTTAGAGGTTGCTTTATTATACGTCCCACAGACCCTTAACCTGTTGCTCCCCCTTTTTTTCAAGAATCTTGGATTCGCCACTGAGACACCCGTAGATCTACTTTCTTCAGTACAAGAAGGCAACTAATATGATCTTGACAACAATAGTACTGAAAAATTTGACAGGAAAGGAAATTGAACTGAGATGGGATTACTGCCAATGGGAACCGGGTTAGCGTTAATACCCTTTGTTTGTGTTCTCTCCATTTGACAGTTTTAGGCAATAATCTATTCCCAGAACAGACTGGTTAGTTGGAAACATAGCTTTAACACCCCCTCCCCCTTTATTTAAACTTATACATATACAAAAAATTCATAAAGTACAACCTGTACATACAAAACATTCATGCATAAGTATTCAGTACGACAAAACCTGTGATTTGGAGGAGGGAGGCATATTAATGTTCTCAAGGTACTTCCCTGATCAAAGTGAAACGACTTGGTGGTCGTTTAATTATTTTCAATATTCAAATAATTGAAGTATTTGTGGAAAGTGAATGAGTTATTTCTGTTTTTTTTTTTTTTTTTTTGTTTTTTTTGTTTTTGTTTTTAAGCAGCAGTAATATACTCACGGTCAGAAATGTTAATTAATCCTTAATCAACTCGTAGAACACGCCGATTGGTCTTGGAATATTCTAACTTTCGTTTTGACTTGGTTTTCCTCTCCAATGCTAAATAGGATAGCAGCTTTCAGTTTTGCATGGATTTTTGTGCAAATTCTATTTTTGAGTCTTGAACATATATTTTTAGAAAGTATTGCTTATATACATATGTACACTAGGTTTATAAATATGTAGAAAGCAAAATCTCTAGAGACACTGATCGACAAAGTATCGAGACGGATAGCTGTATTCATTCATTCATTCTATCTTTATTTCCTACCGTAGAAGATTGCATGAATATGAATACATCAATTATGTGAACATTACAAATGAATAAATAAATAAATACATATCAACATAAGAAGAAAAAAAAAGAACATTAGGTGTACATTAAAGTACAACAGATAAGAACAAGGTTGCTGACTGGAGCGATCGATGTACAAGGTAAGAGCGAGGTTGCTGACAGAATGTACAGAATAATATATATATATATATATATATATATATATATATATATATATATATATATATATATATAATAAAAGTATAACTTCAGAAACTTATGAAAATTTTTTTGATTTGGGAGAATAAGAATAAAATAAATAGCACGGGGTTAGTATTCGCATAAATGCTTTAAAGGATTTCGACCATTTATATAAAAATCCAAATCTTGAACTTTAGTGGTTTCGGCTGGGAAAATCGGCCTGTGTAGCTTAGTTGGTAGAGCACCTGACTAGTGATGCAGGAGGCCTGGGTTTGATTCCCGATCCAGCCAAAAATTTTCTCCTTTCCTGTTACATAATATCTAACGTTTTCCTGGCTTTTTTAACGATTTGATATTTTACGTGCTAAGCAAACGTAAAATATCAAAATCGTGAAAAAAGCCTGGAAAACGTCGGATATCTCGGACTAATTTGGTGCCATGACCTATTGACATACCTTGGTCTCGCAGGTGAAAGTCCTGCCAGGGGCAAATACTTCGAGGGCGTTGACAAATTTAAGGAGGGAGGAATGTAATGGTTTAGGCCGTTGGTAGAGCAACGGACTAGGTGCTCTATTGACGCAGGGGTTCCGGGTTCGATTCCCGGTCCAGCCACACATTTTCTCCTTTTCCGTTACAAATGCAATAGTTTATCATAAATGGAAAAGGTGAGGAAAAGAACAGTGAGCGATCTCATGAAACTTGTAAACAATAGGAATCGTAAAGAGAGCAAAAACATGGACCCCTGAAAACACCAGAGGTTTGGATCAGGTGCTTAGGAGGAGTAAGCATCCCCTGTCGACGAGTCACACCCGCCGTGAGTCCTGTGTATTGATCAGGTAAATAGAGCAATTAATATAAAAAAAAATGGCCAAGTACAATTGGTATGAAACGTGTCAGACAAAATACGACCCAGAGATATTTTAAACATTTTTGAACTTGACCTTGACTTCAAATTTGTGTTAAGCTAAATTTCAAAGAAACCTTTCAAGCTATTTTAATTGTACTTTAATCGTACTTCATATGCTTATACATATTGACGAGAACTGTTCAAGTATATCAACATTTTTGACCTTTCCTTTTACCCTGACCTCACTTTTCTCAAATTTTTCAAAGAAACAAATCAAGATATTTTTGTCAAACTTCATATGCTGAACCAAGTTCAAGATATTTATAATACATACTGGGGAGAACTACTCAACTTAATCAACATTTTTTTTTACCTTGCCCTTTCCTTTGATCTTGACCCCGCTTTTCTCAAATATTATGTGTTTAGCTCAGTTTCAAAGAAACTATTCAAGATATTTTTTTATGTAAGCATATGCACTGATTCATTATTTGCTGAGAATTTACCAAATGTGTCCATTTTTTTTTTTACCTTGACCTTCCCAATGACAATTGACTTAATTAGTACTATTTATTGTGTATTAAACTCAGTTAAAAAAATAATTAAGATATTTTCATCAAACTTCATACACTAATACAAATTTTCATGTTGCATTATTAATGAACCGGCAGGGGCTGACAAATCCCATTGGCCGACGCCCGGGGCTAGTGAACTTTAGGGGTGGGCAAGTGAAATTTTATCAACCACTTGCCAGTGGGCAAGTGACTTAAAAAAAGACTAAATCCACACATAAGTCATAGAAATAAAGCTAGGCACAAGGGCTTCATGATCTACTCAGTATTTTCTTCTTATTTTTTGAAATCTATATAAATATATACAGTATAAGTTTATGGTCATGATGGTGGGGCAAGCAAAAGTTCAGGTAGGGCAAGTGAATTTTGACCATGCACTTGCCCTTGGACAAGTGCCTTAAAAATCTATTTGTCAGCCCTTGTGAACCCTGGGCGGGGCATTCATGTCCTTTGGACGTATTTCTAGTTATAGTCTAATACAATTCTTCAATATCCTTCTAAAACTCTTTATCCGTTCTGACAAAGTGTCGAGGTCTGTCCTTTCTTATTTATCCCTTCATCTGCCATATTCCTTGGCGGAATTCATTATAAAAATTAAGTTCTATTGTCATTTGAATGATTGGGGCTCCCTAATTTTAGAATTTTATAATGATTGCTATCAGGTCACCATTTTCAAATACATTTACATCATCAGTTATGATATGTCCAGCAGGACTATAGTTGAAAGAAGATAGATATTAAGAATTCATAACTGATACATTATGTGTGTGTGTGTGTTATATTATACTAGTGTTGCTTTTTTTGATGTGACCCTTGGATAACTGGCATGGCTTATTATTAATAAAGATATACGTTTTGTCATATAATGTACTTTTTTACTTTTGATATTAATTTTGTTTTTTATGTTTTTCTTGACCAAAAAGAAAATCCTCTATATTTTTCAGATCGTAGAAGACATGTTTTTGGAAAATGTGGAGTGAAGAGCCACTCATGTGGAAAAAATGTGATATAGTTCGTGGAAATGGTCATTTTGTTTATTTTTATATATGCGTGCTATTTTGAAAATGAATGCTTTCATCAATATTGAGATCGTTGCATATTTCATAGCTTTTATAACAAGTAAATACTGATTTAAATGATTTTTTCTCTACTTTCTTTTTTGGTCAATCGTGGGTATTTTCCCCCGCAATTTTCGTATATTTCTTTGTAAATGATACCGAAAATATTATTTAGTTTAACCTTCATTATGGATAGGATATGCATTGTGTAGCACTGTACCAGAATGACATCACAAGTAATTCTTTATTCGTCAAGTGGTCGACAAGCAGTCACATGACATATACTTTTATTGTTTATCCAATCAAGATCCTGAAAAACTGGGATTCTTATAAACAGCTCCTCCCCCTTTTGTACAGTTTCAATAATACACATCTGCGAAACTGAATTAATATATCTAAATTGGGTTATTGAAGTTAAGTAAACTAATTTATGGTTATATGATATTCATGAACAAGCAGCATCTTCTTTATTCAAATTATGAAATTCATGGTTTATTTCATGAAAAATTGAATCTTTACTATAATCCTACTATATTGCTTTATCCTTTCCCGTTGGCTTACTTATTATTATTATTACTCGTTGGGACGAAGTTGTTTAGAATATTTAAAATTTTCATCATTCACATTTATCAATCAAACATGAATAAATAACATAGAAGGGACATATAGCATGCATGAATAAGATGAACAGATATAAAACATTTGTTTAAAAACCAAAAGTTGCTTTAAGGAATGTATACTCGTACCTTAATTGTCCATCAAGGTCATTTGGAGAAGGTCAATGTATGAAACTTTTAAATTTCCTCGTTGTGGAGAGAAACACAAAGGTAGTTTGATATAAGCTTACGTCCTTACCCAAAGACAACAAACAGTCAATATTTATGTTTTGAATATCTTGATTTTTTATTCAAACATGTTTAAAAAGTTGCAGGTTTTGTGTCATATTCCAAAAAAAAAAAAGAAAGAAAAAGAAAAAAAAAGAAAACAAAAAACATTGTGAAAATTTTGTTTTATTTTCATTTTTTTCAGAATATATACTAATTTGAAATTTTGACTGAATTCTGTTCTTGAGACCTGCAGGTCATCATGCATTTGCGTTTTTGAAGAGTTCACATACTATAGTATCACGCATGTTGATTATTTCAAGACCAAGTCGTCAGAACAAAGAAAAAAGGGGGCACAGATTTGTATTAAAGATAAAAAAAGAAGCTTAGCTTCCAACACTTCAGATTTCTATACTAATATCACTTGATTTGGTCTGATCAAAGCTTTTGAAACAGATTTTAAAGGTCTATTCTATTTTATCTGAACATAGAATATTGACATAATCAAATCTTGTACACAGCTGACATTTTCTCGGTATTGATCTCTTCTTGGTAAACTTTAATCATAAAATATGGTTTTAAATTGACCATCTGTATAGAAAAATATCTTTTAATAAATTCATAACCTCGAATTTAGATTAATTATTAAACAGTACATTTTAAATGAGTAATCGAGTACGAAAAATGTAGTCGATAGTTGGTGTGACCGAGTGATATAAATCGTTGGCATTTCAACTTTAAAGCAGCTATTGTGCAGGATATAACTTTAGAATCTTTAATGTAAATTGGTCCAAGCTCAACTATTCACAATCCTGCAAACACCACGGATATTCCTGCGTTAGAAAGACAAAACCTTTACACAAATATAATTTTATTATCATATCAACATCTATATATAGAACAAATTTTGAGACATGACAGAATCAAGTATGGCACATTATTCGAAAACTTTGTAAAGAATTCTAATGAAAAAGAAAAAAAAAAACAAAACAGAATTACATGCGTATGGAACATTTACATTTTCTTTAAATGGTGAATGATTATGAAATAATTAGTTTCATACAGAAAAAACTTCCACAGTATCTCAAGTTGACAAACAATAAATTACTATATATGACACTGTTAAACAGTACATGCAGATGCTTGCGTTTATAACTTTTTTGGATTTGTTTGTATTTTTTTTTTTTTTTTTTCTATCATGCAGTTTATATTGTGTATTTTCTTTAGACACTGGTCAACAGTGTAATATATATATATAATTAAATTATGTATGTAATCTCAGTGTACAGGACAATGTTATCAATTTACGTGAACACCCACACGCCTATCTCTGCTGTAGTTTTCAGTAGCTGCTACATGTATATTTATTTTATGTATTAATTTTAATAATAATAAGTTTAACGTTATAATCCTGGTCATGTAGTATAATATGTATTGTGGTCAGTTTATTACTGTGTAGTGGTCACTGTTTCCTCGCTTTCTACAACCCAATCTTTATCTACAACACAAAACAAAAAGGAAATTATGATGCAAGAACAAACAATTTTTTTTTAAATATCCAAGATATATATGGTATATATATACATGTACTTCCCATGATAAAGACATAATATTTCTTAGAACAAGTGCCTGGAAAATTTAAAATGTACATTAACTCCACCTTCCCCTCCAAAAGCACTTGAAGAAGTGTCGCTTACCCATGACGTAAGGGGAAAAGTTGTCAAAATCTGGTAAATTGTCCGTTTCTTCTCCCGGACTAGAGGGACAGGAGTCTGAGGAGCTGGAGACGTTTGACGATTCATCAGTCACGGAAAGTTGCGAATATGACGTCATGCTTTCGTCATCACCAGTACTAAGCCGCCTTCTTTTTCTGGTTTGTTGCGCCAGCTGGATAGAAAAGTAAAGAAAAATCATACATTACAAATTTATATGAACAAATTATTTCAGAAAGTTTTAAACTACTGCAAATTGAGATACTTAAAAAAAATAGTCATTGCACTGAATTACCTGAGCTTCTGATGGCGCCATTTCTACCAGATCTTCTTTATCTATAACATACAGATTCTTGGTTATACTAATTTTTAAACAAGTCAACAAAATGATTTTGTTCAAGAATATATAATTTTTGTTTACGTACCATCCTTCTGGGGGGATTGTTCTGCTGGTCTTTTTCTGTGAATCTGTCTGACAATGCAGCCCGCCATGTGATTTTTGTATGTGAACTCGTGAACCAGAGGCTCTGCATAAAATTTAAGAGTTTTAGTTTATTTCCTGTTTTGTCTGTGAACCTTTTAAATACATGTACAAGTAAATGTATTCGTGTAAAAAACGCTTTGAGGATAAAACGCAATTAAAGTCAAAACAAAAAATCGCCACAAGCCAAGGACTTTTGGTCCGCTAGACCTCCCCCCCCCCCCCATTTAAAAGCCCTACTGGCCTACAAAGAAAGATATAGAGGTATCCACATTTTCACTTTATAATGAAGTTTGATGATATGTGATTTACTCACTGATAGGGGGTGATGGCGGAGGTTTCTCCTCATTGCCCCATGTAGAGGACAGTTCCTCACTTTGAACTTCTTCCGTCGGAATTATCTCCAGAATTACCTGCTAAAAAGTTGACACTGTCAGTACAAAATGCTGTCGACTTTAAATATCTGAAATAATTAATATTTTGAACAAAAGTGCATTGATTCTACCTCTTTCTCGGGTTCTTCATCTGTTGTGTCATCAGATCTAAAATTTCTCCTGCTTTTTGTCTTTTCTGTTTTCTTTTTGTTAGGTTTCCTCTGGTCTATTAGAATATATTTAAAATTTGATGAAATAAAATAATTAAAAAAATAAGAATTACAATTTTTTGAACATATCTTATTATGTACTGAACCATAAATGGATTGGGCAGCAGGCATAGCCTATATAAGCCCTCTCCATAGGTATAATGTTCATTTAAATTATATATAATACTATAACATATAGTTACAGGTTCATATAACAAAATTGATTGGAAATTAAGCAGAAAAAATGGGGGGGGGTGTAAATGATTAGCGGTTTTATGAGAAAAATAAGGTAAAAAATAATATAAGTGTAGTTGTTGTCTATAGATATATATTTGATATTATCCTTAGTAGACCTAAAATGTTAAAATTTTATTCGGCTGTTTGTACGGTTTTTGTTTTTGTTCTTTGTTTTTTTTTAATTTAATTTTATTTGATTTGCCTTTGTGTTCTTGTTGGTTTTGGTTTCGATTTTTTTTGTTTTAGAGGCACATTGTTGTAAGTACAATATCCCTTTTACTTGATAGAATGTTTCATTTGTCTTGAAAATTATTCGGATTTGAAATATTGGGAAGTAGAGATAGTTTGTAGTATTTTATATTACCATCTTTTGGTTTCGTCTCCTCCTCCGGCAGAAATTGATACACCCGGTAGGCATGCGCACCCTTGCTTTCTCCCAGTTTTTTGATTTCCATGACGTTTTGGAGACTGTTTAGAGCACACCGGAAGTTCGCCTTCCATTTCTTGGGGTTTGGGTCATCAGGATCCCATCGTCCTAATTTAAAAAAAAATAATGATATATTTTAAAAACTTTCTTTTTATACGTTTAATAAACGGTCCAAAAACATTCACCGATTTAAAATTTCTCTCTTTCGGTCAAGGAAAATTACAAATCCTGCTTTTTTTTGTCGGCATTGCTTTTGTGTTTAGTGGAAATCCAAATAATAATAATAAAAATTTAAAAAAAAAAAAAAAAAAAAAAAAAAAAAGAAAATTAGCGTAGTACATTTTTTTAATATTAGAAAAAAAGGATTACAATAAACATTTATAATAAAGACTAATGCCCCTAAAACGCTTTTGGGCTTTTGATTGGTGAAAATATATATACATACATACACACATACATACTTATATATATATATATATATATATATATATATATATATATATATATATATATATATATATATATATATATAATTTTTGTTTTTTTTAATGAACTTATTCATTTTGTTTTTTAATGAACTTATTCATTTATATACATATTCATTAATTAATTTTATTAATTTATTAATTTTTATTTTTTTAGATGTTAAATCCTAGGATTTTACAGATGAATAATAAACATATTTATAGGGGGGGGGGGGGGGGAATAAAAAAAAATGAGTTTATAAGATAAAAGATGGCGATCTAGATCGACTCATTTCTAAATTAAGTTTCTTTTTTTATAACAAATATTTCTAAGTTTGTTGTTTGTTTGTCTTGTTCTTGTTTTTGAATTGTTGTTTGGTCTTTTTTGTGTTTTTGTTTTGTTTGTTTCTTCGTTTTGTTTGTTTGTGTTTTTTTGTTTGTTTTTTTTTTTGCTTTTTTTTTTGTTCTTTTTACTTTTTTTTTTTTTTAGTTTTGTTTTTTTGTTTCTTTTTTGTTTGTTTTGTTTTTTGTTTTGTTTATTTTTTTTAATTTAATTTTTTTTTTTTTTTGGCTCTTTTGAAGCATAAAAACAAAAAAAGTTTTTTTTTCCTTTTGCTCTCTTAAAGGATAAAAACGAAAAGAAAATTTTGATGTTTCTAACAATATAAGTATTATAATTAATATTTTAATTTTTGCTGATGAAGAAAAAAATTTGTTCGTGTGTTGTCTAATGGAAATTGTTCTTTGTGTAATTTTGTATTTAATTGAATCATTATTGTTCTTTCTTTTACTTCTTTATTGTTCAAGATAATTATTTAAAGAACTATAACATTATTTAATGATTTTTATACCAAAATAAAATAAATAAGAAAATAAATGAATTTTAAAAAAATACTCTTGCGTATAGTTTTGTAAAATATAAAGTATTTTTTAAACAAAATGAACGAATATTCTGTCAATTTTTTTCAGAGTTTTTGAGACTCATATTCAAATTTACTGATTTACACAGAGAGGCAAATTAACTTTTACTTATTATTTTTTTAATGAATATGCTCGGAAAGCATGTCATCAGGCATGCGCGTACAGGGGTGTACCTACAGGCGTACGCGAATGCTTCCACATCATTTTCGAAAAGAATTAAGGAAGAAAAGAAATCTTTGAATTAAAAAAAAGAAGGAAAACGTACATTTTTCTTTGTATAAACGATAATTTTAAAAGTTTTATTTTTTTAATTGTTATTAATGGTATACAATCCATTGGCTTGTCTTTTCCTTATTATTGTAATCATTTCATATTTTTCTATTTTGGGCTCTAAATCATAAATAAATATCCTATTCTGTTCTATACAGGTCTTACGATAGAAGGATGAAATTTCCATCCAATCATAAAACGGGATCCGGATATTCTTTTTCTACTTTATTAAGAATTTTACCAAGAAATCTGTATTTGAAACGATGGCATTCAAGCTAATTAATTTTACCATATCTGGACACTCAAAGTTAGCTGTCAGAATGGTAAAAGTTCACCCGTTTTCGGGGATTCGCCCCTTGGCCCCCACCAGGGAGTTTGTCCTGGACCTATTGGGGACTCTAGGCGGCCCCAAACCCCTGTCTTTGTTTTCTTCCACATCAAACACCCCATAGCTACCACCTTGGCGTAGATGGAGAAATACATCAAATTTGTTGTTGGTGTTTTGTAAACCGACATTCAGTCAATTAGTGAAACATTTCTTAAAGATTTTTGTGGCAAAATAAATTTTAAAAAATAGGTATATTTTTAAAAATTATACTATTTTGTACAGTTTGGTAGAATATCAAGAAATCTTTAAGAAAATGAGCGAATATTCTGTCGTTTTCTCAGATTTTTGTTAGAATATACTCAGTTTACAAACTGGATAAGTTTGAATTAGAAAAAGTAGAAATTTTTTTTTTAATAATATGCTTGGAGAAAGTGTCTTCAAGCAATATATAATTAAATACATCTAATTTATTGGTTTTTAAATATTCCCCGAACATTATCGAAAATGGGGTTAGAAATCAGAAATACAAATTTATATGAAATAGTACCAACAAAAAAAAATTTATATGAAATAGTACCAACAAAAAAATCGTTCCAAAACAAAATAATGATAATGTTAAATGGTACAGATGAATGATAAAGCTTCCTGATACAAATATTCTAAACATATTTGTTTTGATTTCTTAAATATTGAATAAAATAAAATAAATTTTTTTTTAAAAAAAATTATAAATAATAAAAAAAGAAAGAAAGAAAGAAAATGCACAATTGGATTGTGTTATATCCCACTTAGAAATAATCGTAATCTAACAAGAATTAAATATTTTAATTTATACTGAAAAAAATCACTGGTAATGATATCATGAATATGGCTCATTATTCTAGCGAGTTTTTTTACGTGCATTTTAAAATTTTGTATTGTTATATATAATTATTTATCTTATTTTAACAACATTTTTATAATTAAAATAAATAAAAAAAAATTGTTTATTATTGTTCTTTTATTTTTTTTGGAAGGCTTTTTTTTTTCAATCACATAATCGAGTCAAGAACAACAAACACATTTTTTTTTGATGATGATGATTGAAAACAAAACGACACAAAGGTATTTTTATCTTTTTTAAAAAAAAATGCATAAATTCATGGGAATTCAAATGCATTGTTAAAAATGCGCTAAAATATTTCAATATTTCTTTTCAAAATAGTGTAATTACACTATTTTGAAAAGAAATATTGAAATATTTCATTTTTATTGAAATATTTTATTTTTGTGTAAATAATGATCATTATTCACACAACAAAATCAAATGCATACTCATAAATATATGATATAGAAATATACAATGTTAGAAATAAATGATCGAATAGAAGTAAATTGGGTTCTGTGTTGACGTAAATTCACACATTTGAATGCATAAATAAAAGAAAATCTATAGAGGTGGGCATTAAATTTTGATTACTAAATAGACGAAAGTTCGGTCTATTCACAATTCAAAATTGAAGTTGTTCATGTTAAAAAAAAAATATCCCAGTAAAAGAAAAAACCGAAGAAACTTTTAAATGTGTGAACCATGTGATGTTGGGAGGGTAGGGCAGGATGAGGAAGTAAAGGATACTATACTGACCTGTGTGTTGGGCGTATTTCTCAAAGAGACTGGCATCTTTTCTGGTGTTGAAGCCATGTCTAGATCCATGCTTCCAGTTGATTTTAAACTGATCTTTAGGTTTATCAAACCATTCCAGCCCTTGAACTCCTCCATTTTCCAACATGTCCTGCAGCCATGGCCGCATTTTCTGTCGTTCCACCGGCCGCTTTTTCGTCATTTTTTCATCTGTCCGTTTATTTTTGTCAAATCCCATAGCAGTTTTCCTTAGAAACACAGTAAACAAGTCCAATAGAAGTCAATGTCCAAAATCAAATGATATACTAAAAACAAAGTAAATAATTAAAAAAATATTTTTAAGAATCGAAATTTTGACAATTGTGTCAGCTTCTTTTGGAGACGATTCAGAGATACTCTCCTCAAGCACTGTATTCACTACTTTGAATCTTAGTATCTGGTCGATTTGCTAGCTTGTTTTTAGAAAATCAAAATCGAGCTGCGATGAATTTCTGAAAACGGCAGTCGATGTGTAGCGCAATGCATTGTGTGATATGTTTACGTATTCAACGAGCCCGCGTGTAATAAAATGCATGCCGAAAATATGGCAATTATATTTTACTGATTTAGGTAGAAATGAGACTTTCTCAAATCTCTCGAAGTATTTTTCAGAAAGCAAAATGTAAATTTGCCGCCATTATAAAGATACGAGGACTTCCCAAGACTGTATAAATTGACTTTTTCTTGGTATTGAGTCACGTGACATCCTATGTATGGAGGTTTAACCTAAGGTTAGTCTAAAAATATCATATCAGTTAAACACATTCAATGTTGTTTTGTTTTACATGTATTGATATTATATAATCAAATAAAATTTTAGTCATATCATTTATCGAATTTAACTCAGAATAGTCACGAGTATTTTACATTTAAATTGCAGATGAAAACCTGTACTTTTGACATTAAGGGAAGTTGGGGGGGGGGTGTCATGCATCCTAATTAAATAACTTTATATACCTCTAATATGTATATCACCACAAAGAATAGATTAAGGATTTTTTTTCCTGGAGGAAGGGGGAAGAAAGAACTACTGAAGAAAGGATAACTATAAGTAAAAGCAATACTGAAGAAGAGGGGGGAATCAAAATCTGTATGTGATACGGGTGAGGGGCGAATGGGGGAAGGGGGCTCTCAATTAAGTTTAAAAAAAAACAAAAAAAAAAAACGAAAATTTCCAACTTCCTCTTTTATGATTATAAAGATAAAAAAAATCATATCACTGGGGCGCGTAGTGATGGATTAAGTTAGGGATAATAATGAAAACGCAATCTCAGGTACTTTCCTGAGGATGTGAGGTAAACCCACTCCCAACCCGTCTTGCATTTGTTGTCATATATATATATATATATAGGTTAAAAAAAATGTTTTCTCCGTGAAATGGTATATCTTTTATATCAATAAAGACACTGGTAATGAAATACTAGTACTTGTCATGCGATCAACCCAGCTAACTTCATACTTTTATCATAACCTTCGTGTAGGAATTGTATAGGTACAAACGTTTTTGAATGTAACATATATGTTTTAATAGCTTCTTTACGAGAATATCCAGGGAATGCATTCAGGTATACTATAGGGAAAAAAGGGTCGAGGCAAATGGAAAAAAATCCGAAATGAATGAGAAAACCCATTCTCTACAAACTGGTGTGTCTTGTTAAACCACAGGCACTTATTTCCCTAATAATTTTTTAACCCACAGTTTAAAAATAACGTTATTATTAAAATACGGTTAAAAATTTAACTACAGAAACAAATGCCCATAATGAACGAAAGGGGGAGTGTTGTATCTAAAAGGTATACTTTTGCAGTTCCATGATATAGGTTATTAAAAGGGGGACGAAGTAATTAGGTAGACAGTCGGGGTGAACCGATTCCACGTCATACCACTCCTTCTCCAAACTCCCTTTTCTTGTATGCCCCTCTCTTAGGGGTGTTATAAAAAAGGGGTTCTTTAATAAAAAAAATTTGAACAATAGAAAAAAAACTCATAAAGCTTTTGTACGTGTGCTTTGTGTATTTAAGTTTTCGCTATTATTATTATAATCAGGAGGGAGGGTTATTTTTGTTTATTTGTTATACCTGCATTTCTAGGAAACCTGAATTACTCAAGTGTCCTGTTGCTATCTGTCGTCCTACTTTTGAATATTTTCAGCTTCTTCTCTAGAACGCCCGAACCATTTTTAACTACAGTAATTTTGATATACATGTACATGTATAGCATATGGGGACCACAAGTTGTTAATTTCATGGTCTATGTCCCCCTAGGGTCTTAGGTATGGAACAAAAACCATCAAAATTACTGCAATCTCAAAAAATATTTCTGAACATGCAGCAGTCAAACTGTTGGCATGATAACATGAGAATAATAATAAAAAAAATGATCCCTTAACAAAAATTTTGAAATCCATGCCCCTTAAGTGGTTCAAGATTTGGTCGTATGTTGAAAATTCTTTATATCTTTAAAGTCTTCTTTGTTCATGAACATCCAGCTGACAAACTTTTTGATTGATTATAATGAATGAATACTTAACCTTTTACCAAAATTGAGAATTATCTGGTCCTCGGGAACATCACTTTATCCTAAGGTGGGGATTAGTTGGTCATATGTTGAATACATTACATCTTTGAAAATCTTCTCTTATCATGGACATTTATCAGCCAAATTATTTCTTCAATGATATAATAAATGCTTAGCCCTCTACTAAAATGGTGAAACTCGTGGTCCCCGGGTCAAAAGGTCAGGCTCCAGTGAGAAGCTTAGTTGGTCATACATTGTAAATATATTACACCTTTGAAAAATTGAGTTATGCATGTATGTTTGAAAATCTCTCCTATAAAGCAGTCAAAATTGTAATATTCATGGCCCCTGGGTCCAAGGTTTAGGCAAAGGGTGGGGCTAAGTTGTTCCTATATTGGAAATACAATCTTCTTGACTTACGGACAGATAGCATGATATATGTTTGCGTTATAACAGTAAGTGCTGAATTCAATTCAATTCATTTATTTGACAACACCATCATACATTGGCATATAATGAATACAACAAACAATAACATACACAAAATCAATTTAAAAAAAAAATATTCCAGTAAGCGTATCAGTTATGTTGAAGTTTTTCTTTTCTAATATCAAAGCACTTTTTTCAGAAAGTTACATACTCTTCTGGCAATTATAATACTTGTAGGGTTGATAGTGTCAATAATAGGGTTTTCCTTCATGTAACATTGAGCATTAAATATATCACAATATTGTAATCTATACTGATCATAACTAGGACAATAAAGTACAAAATGTTTTTCATTTTCAATAAAAAGTTTACAAGAAAGACATACACGTTTTTCTCTGGGAATAGGTGGCCTTGATTATCTCACTATTTCAATATGTAGTATATGAGCACTAATTGATTATTTACCAAAATTGTTAACGTCTGTTCCTAGTCCAGTTCAGGTCGCAGGATGGGGCTAATTTATTCATATACTGAAAATACATTCTTTGAAAATCTTTTTTAAAGGACATCTAGAGGGAAAACCACTTAAACGATTAGTTCGCAGTTTTGTATTAGTAAAAATCAATATTTCATTAACGAAAAGTTTTCTTTTCAATACATAAAATAGTTAAATATCATCACCAAAAATTGCGTAAGTTATCTCCGATATTAAGTCAGAGTGAAAACTGTAAATTGGGTTTGCTTTCTATCGTTTAAAATATGTTGGCAAAATACCCCCCCCCCCCCTTTTCATACGGGGTCTGATATATATGGATGACACATAGAACTTGACATTAAACTTCGAGCGAAATGTTCATATTGAATTTTCGGTACTGATGTGTAAGGTTTTTTTCAGAATGAAAGAAAATAATAACCGACAAGTTTTCAAAATTTTCGGTAATGCAATGCAGCCGAAAACTTAGTCCTTTACAACAATTGTAAAATTCAGACTGTAGGATGGGGCTAAGATAGCCATATTGAACATCTTTAAACATCTTCGTTATAGTGGATATCTGCAGTCAAAATGTTTACATGACTACTAGTATATTGAGTTGCTATCCCCCCCCCCCTGCAAAATTATGAATATGATTATTTTATAGGATCTTCACCAGACTGTATAATTTTTGTCACACGAGACCTGAGTTCCAGCTCCAAATGGAATCATTGTGGACATACCTTGAGAAGCTCAAAAATACTCAGGTGACCATAAATGCCCATGGGCCTCTTGCCATATAAAAAGTACTACAGATCCACCTTGTCCATCACACTCTTTTATCATCAGATCCCCATATCTTTATTGCATACGATTTGGATATATCATAGTTCAATGATTTGATATATATATACATGTATATATATTTTTTTTGCTTCTTCAGGGGTCTGTAAGGGTGTGGGTTTTAAAATTAAGTTTGCATTCATTTTTTTCTTAGCATATGAATTCCTTTTTTTTAAAAAATATATATACATATAATTGCCTTTGTGAAGAAAAGAAAAAAGAAAAAAAAAACTAATTAACTGTTCATATCCTGGAATTTGCAAGTGCTCGACCTTACCACAGAAAGTATGTGTGTGTGTGTGGGGGGGGGGGGGGAGGGGCAGCATCTAAAGGAAAAATTACTATAGCAAAATACTATACTCAGACCCCCCCCCCCCGTGTTCTTCGGGCCTGGAGGGGTAAGGTGATCCTTATGAAAACTTGTCATTGCATGGAATGTTGTCTACATTTTGCTGTTTTGGGTTTTTTATTATCTAATTCTTTCAAGGAATCGGCATTTTGATATCTAACCCAGTGCTCCTAGATTGGGGGCTAAAAGGGTAAGTTTCCACAAGAGCGCTTGCAAAGTATACTTACTACATTTTGTTGTTTTGGATTTAATTTTCCAATTTTGTCATATCTGCGCTAAGATTGCTGCAAGTGACCTTTATTTTCCGAATGAGTGATAAAATTTAAGTCTTGCAAATACTTTTTCACAAATAGATAGACCCGCACTTTCTCTAACAAAATTTGCTATCCCTTGTCAGTCACCGCATCTTCTCCTACATTTTCAGAGGTAGCCAGAAAATTCTTTTTACATATGATTGGGCTGGTCATCTCCTCCTACATTTTTTAGATGATTGGCCTGGTCATTAAGTGTGCAATAAATCCTAGGGTTTAAAAAAGTAAAATTAAGCTTAATTTTAGGTGGTCCTTCTTGGACAAGATGGGGCATGTCATGAAGATGTACAAACAGAATTTGGAATGCTGATCCCTGCCCAGGGTTTGCCAAGGTCTCACAAGGGGTTCTGATTCCTCGTCAAAATCTTTCCTAAGACGCCTTCGGACACTTTGCGCTCATGTTAAGAATTTGATTCGGATTTGGAGTCGTGATGCTGGGGTTGCAGACGTGCTATAAGACCTTGAATGTTACAGCCGACTGAACCGTTCCAGATGAGGAGATCGTGTTAAAATTTTAAGGAGGACCAATCACATATGTTGATCTAACTCAATTGGATGGAAACAGTAAGGGCGATTCTTTCTGGGACAGAAAAAAGTCTGAGTGGTGTTAAAAACAGGAACCTGTGTTTCCCATATACAGCGGAAGAAAAGGGTCGGAAGACATTTTGAATACTAACTGAACAGTATACTTCTACATGTATCATGATATGATGTTATAATGTTGATGTTCATTGTGGTAATTTTACATTTTCCGTGGGTGACATCTGATCAGACAAAGCCTTGAATTTTGAAATAAAAAAATTGCAATTCACAGAAAAGATCGGTATTTTTGTTTTGCTCTAATAAGTTTGGATTTTCTGGGAGGGTTAAAAAATTCGATGTGTCTCAGCCATCCTTAATATAGTAGAAGTAAAGAAATGGAGACTTATAAGAAGTCCTATTTAGATTTTGAAATATGATCTGTAAAATCGGCAAATAAAATCATATCGACTACATAGGATTAGCCTGTCGTAGCAGGTTTCCAGAAGTTGTTGATTATATATCAATGCAGGGTAAGTCAATATATTAGTTTCGAAATTTAAGACACACCATCTGGACACAAGGCAAACTGTTGGAATTACGGTAGGCACTAATTGTGTTCCTTTATTAGCTGATCTGTTTTTATATTCCTATGAAGCAGAATTTATTTAAAAACTTCTCCACGAGAAGAGGAAAACACTAGCTGTGTCCTTCAATTCGACATTCGGATATATCGACGATGTTTTATCAATTAACAATAGTTATTTTCATTCAAATGTCGATTTAGTATATTCCAGTGAACTTGAAATAAAAGACAAAACAGAGTCTGCCACATCTGTTCCATATTTAGATATTTTACTGACTATAGACGACAAAGGCCAATTAACAACTAAATTGTATGACAAACGAGATGACTTCAACATTTCCATCGTCAACTTTCCTTATTTATGTAGTAATATCCCACTACTAGTATTACCTTCTTGTGGTGTTTATTCACTACTCAAGAGCATTCGGCAAACCTCGGCTGATTCCGTCACCTTCATCAAGCAACTAGATGAGGTACGAATCGGCCGAGATGTGCCGAGTGTACTCAAGAGCTTGCTCTGAGTACGATCAAATTTTAAAGCGAGGCAGGCGAGACAGGCTTCTCATTGATAAGTTGATGTTACAGGGATTTCAACAGCCTCGTTTAAAGTCAGCATTTCGTAAATTTTATGGTCGTTATAATGACCTTGTTAGCAAATATAACGTATCATTGGGTCGTATTTTGGCTGACTTGTTTCATACCAATTGTTAGGCCTTTGTTTTTGTACTGAATTGACTACGGATAGTTCCGGCTACCTGATCAATACATAGGGCTCATGGCGGGTGCGACCGGTGAACAGGGGATGCTCACTCCTCCTAGGAACCTGATCTTATCTCTGGAATTTCCAGGGGTCTGTGTTTTATGCCCTCTTCACATATTTGTATTGTTTGTGGATTTTTTGAGATCTTTTACACCAATAGACTGATGCCGAAGGACACTTGACGAAATACAGTTTTTGACATGCCCGTTATATAAACAAAAGCTTTACCTATTGTGAGATAACCCCCATCGGTAACCCTCTTTTTATACAGTCTGTTCATAAACTACAAGTCATATTCCATTGAATATCACATTTTACTAGTATTCAGTAACATACACCTATACATTATCAAGTACATGTTTGTCTACATACAAGTATCTGCTAGCGCAGACATTTCCATTCATTGTTTAGTTTTTTAAAATATATATTCCTCTTTACTCAACAGTGCACCGGTATAATCGTCATGGATCTGATTGTCCTTTTTTTAATATTGTTTTCAACTCGAACAGTTATAACGTATCCGTCATATGACAGTCTCGGTCACGTGACAAGATATTGCACAAAATGAGAAAATGGAGACCAGCTTCCTTTCCCACAAAGACAATAAAAATCAAATCGTCGTCATTAAATCTCCCCCAACAATAGTATATGATGAATGATGAAGGATGATTCTCTTCGAAGAATGGCGGATGCATACACTCTTGAAATCGGCGGGGCCTTCGCTGGTTTGTCTGTCTGACCGACGGAAGATAATATTGGATTTATCAGTTTTTTTCACAGAGGCACTTTACAGTTCATAGCTGTGAGAGATCAGTTAACCCAGTGTATTGCTACAAAATAAAGAGAAAAATAACCATACATTATACCCTCTATTGTCCCTTTATCTGAGTTTATTACGTCTGTTATTAAATGTTTGTGTTTTTTATCACTGGACGTTAGGATTCTCCCTTACCATGACCTCTCCATTTGTGATCTGTTCACAGCGCACAGCGGGGGTATCCGTGATCACAACTTCATTTTCAACATTGTCTAAAACTAAATATGTCGTATCACCCTCTTCTACAAAAGAAAAAAATAAAAAGTTTAAATAACATTAATCTGAAAGCAACAAACCTCATTTCAAATCACAAGAAATTTGATTTTGTATTGGGTCTAATCAATTTTGACTTACCAATTATAGCATCAACGTAGGCAACCTCCTGTGGCACCGGAAGTCCACTGCCCCACAAGTCGGTGTATTCAGCTTCCGGTGTTTGGACCTCGGCTTCCATAACCAGCTGTATCAGTTCTTCATCAGTTAGTGTGCTGCTGGTGGTCGAGGCGGACTCTAGAAAAAAAAAATGTCAAAATTCAAACTCTCTTCAACCACTTTTATTACACATACATTTCTTTAACCCACTTTTAATAAAGCAACCTGTCAGGCTATATTGATGAATGTGTTTACTTGTCCGTTTATAATCATAAATGCAAAATATTTAACCCTCATTGTCCCGACTTTTAAATAGTTGCTGCGTAATCCAAATAAAGATCGAAATATCTTTAAAATAAAAAAAAACTCACCATCATCCCTGGTCCCTCCAACTGAGGGGACTTCCTGTGTGAGGGACTGGAAAAGATTGTTGGTACTGGGGTAAGAACAGGGCACATGGGCTCTGAGGTCCTTCTCTGGGGGCAGGTGGAGAGTTGTTAGATCTAAACAAATAACAGATATGTACTTATATATATATGATCATCATTAAAAGTTCCTTTAATTTGGCAAGTCAACTATCTCGGAGATGTGCTATTGCTTTTGATCATGAAGTATGCGTATCATTTTTCATATGTCACAAGAAAGTAAACATACCTGTGGATTTACAGATTTTGTTGAAATCTGGGAGGCGCGTTTCTAGACTCTCCTCAAATATTGGCTCATTGTCTGACGATATGTCATCCATTCTCTCTGGAGTGTCATTCTAAACACAGGAAAAGACTTGTAAGTTCAACGAATACTACTAAAACCTTTTTTTCTTAAAAAAGGAGAACAAATCATGTTCCTCTCAAAGTATAGTATTACACCTACCCCCACAGAAGCTGAACTGTCGGATTCAGACATGATGAAGTCTGATGAAGACTCTTCATCCTCGCCTTCACTGTCCATCTCTACCATCTTCCTATAGGAGATTCTCTTGGCATTACGGGCTCTCAGGCTCCTCTTCGTTTTGGTCTGAGTTATTTTTGGTACAGAGGTTCGCTCTGAAATAGCAATTGACAAAATTACAATCTGATCAAGGTAAAAATATCTGGGACGGTATACCTTCATATTCCGTCCACCCCATGCTAGACAGAAAACTGGAGATCCTTGATTGGAATAATTCAGTGAAAATCAATAATGGTCACTAATCAGGAGATTGAGTTTTTAATTTTTTTTTTTACCTGTAGCTTTGTGCTTGTGGACGGCTTTCTTCTCGCTTAGGAACTGGTATACTTTATATGCGTCCTTGCCCTTCCTCTGTCCTTGATCTTTGAGCTGTTTGACATCAGGGAGACTGTTTAACGCACACCTAAAGTTGGCCTTCCATCTTTTAGGGTCAGGTTCATCACCCTCCACAAATTTTCCTACATGTACAATAAAAAAAAACCTAGTTTATGACTCTGTGTCAAGCAGGGAAAGAAATTTTCAAGTACTTGTTTCACAAATTGTTGTTACAAAGTATTGAGCCGCCGCGATCTTTAAAGGGCTCTAGACTAAGTTCACAAAGTTGAAACCTTACACTCGACAGTGTGTGTGTTGTGCAGTATGTTTTTTCATTAAAAAAAAAACTTTTGTTGGAGCGATGAATCATTAAATATTGCGGTTGTTAAAGCAGTTGGATCAATAGGTTAAATGAATATGTACCCGTATGTTTAGCCCATCGTTCGAACAGCCCGGCGTCCACCTCGGGATCCCAGCCTTGTCTGGCGGCGTGTCTCCACGAGATCCGGAATGTCTCACGCTCCCGGGACTCCCAAGAAAATCCCAGGATATTCTCATTATTTAGAAGATTGACCAACCATGGCCGCATTTTCTGGCGTTCAATAGGACGTATTGGTTTCCTCTGAGGGATGACCGGTTGAGTCTGTTTCCTCTGAACCATCTGAAATAAATTTTATATAATTTCATTTTGCACAAAAGCAATCATTTTTTATTTGTATTTTTTAACTGCTTAAAATTTGGATTAAGGTCCAAAGTATTACGCCAAATTGTAGCAATGATAACTTTGACAGATATGACACGACTTATCAGTGAGACAAACTGCGTTAGGTCACTTAATATACATGTATAGATCTCTCCTTAACAAGGAAGTTTAAATCAAATATATGGCACCCCGCCAAAATCAATACAGCGGGGTGCACCAGAAATCACCCAGCCATGCAACCACCCAGCCGCAGGTAAATCATAAAAGAACTTAGTAGATCTGAATCAAGTACCGTCGTAAATGACCAATTAGTATTTAAGAACATAGACCTCGTAACTTGTTTGTAACGAGCATCAACAGACTTTAAAATATTGTACCGTAGCCAATAAAATATCGAATCTATACAAAAAAAATCAGTGGTTGCCATGCACATAAAAAATATAAAAAAAATATAAATCCAAGACAAGCCAGAAAGTTAAGTTTAGTATACACATATGCAGTAACATTTCAAACAACTTAGATAAATTGGGCCAATATACAGCATATACAACTGGGTTAAAAAAATGTTTCCGTCGATCAGCTTTATAATAGAAATAATGACAGTGAAATAGAGGAATGGTTTAAAACGATAATTATGTATAATACTTGGCATTCTGCAAAGAAATGTTAACTTATACAGCAAATGCTTGGTAAAAATATGACCCAGTTTCGATTGTGCGCGCGCGCTGCTTCCCGAAAATAAGTTTTACATGTTCTAATATAAACAAATGCTGCAAAAAATATAAATAATATGCGTCATGCATGTCCTTACCTTTAACAATGTGTATATTTTATCAAACTTAAGAAATTATGTTCACAGCTGATTCCTGCACTACCTAAACAGTTATGAATATAATATGCTTCACTGTCAATGTTTTATTCTCTGTTTTGGTCACATGACCGAGAGTACTGGGAATTCCAGCTCGTTACTTGGAATTTCATATCTAATTTTAGCCACAGCTAACACAGCAAAATTAACCTATAAAGATTGAAATACTTGTGTATTGCAATCATATCTGAGTATGTAGTAGTCCTCCTTCTTAAATATAGCACAGACAAAATTATATATTCATATTGGTTAAACATTGTATCGTCTATTTATGAAACTTGTTCTATGTCTAAAAATAACGAGGGAATCCTCACAAAAATAGACTTTCATAATTCAGAACAAGTTAGCTTTGGTTTCTATTTTTATCAAAATAAAAACCAAAAATTTTCTCAAACATTATATATTATTAACCCCACGTGGCCCAAATAAATGTTTATTATGAGTAATGAAAGAGAGAGAGAGAAAAAAAAATTCTAGCACACCGTCAGAAAAGTTATCTGTAGATACATGTATAAGATCATTGGCGTTGTCATGATTTGCATTTTTGCCCTTTTAAGGAGCATTTTTTTTATTTCTACATTTTAAAATTATTTGTGCATAAATAATTTTAGAGAGAGTTAAAATTACTTTTATCTATTTGTTAGGTGTTCTGCAGGTTTCATCCATTTCGCTCGGCCAAGTTAATCAAAATGAAGTCATTTTGTGTCTAAATATATTATATCAAAAGAATTTGATGTATTGGCAATGAGATAGAAATAAACAGAAGTACGATAAATTAAATGTTTTATGTACATGTATTATAATATACTTGTGCACATATACGTATCTGTCTGGTCAAGTTTGAAGCAAAATCGGATTTTTTAAAAATTTTATATCTTTGCCAACTATATTATAGATTCAAATATTACTTTATATTGTATATTATCTGTAATTATATGTGTTAAAAGATGTTAAGATAAGATTTATTAATTAACTATATTGCATACAAAGTTTGCAACATGTAGGCGGAAAACAGTCCAAAGCCGATCAAAAACAAAAACAATCAAACAACAAAGCAAACAAACAACAAAACTTGACTTACAGAATTATATAGCAGATGGGGTTATTTATAATAGACGAAAATGAAATAAATGATATATTGTGTAATGAATTTGTGAAATGCATTCCATGTGTATATGAGACTATTTATGGAGAGAGAGAGAGAGTTAAAATAATTATTCATTCATTCATTATAACCCATTACAAAATGTTTCAAAAAATATTTTAGAGTGCAGGCCCGTAGCAACGGTTTCAAAAGTGGAGGGGGGGGGGGGCAGCTTCCCTCAAAAATCTGTCAAGCAAAAAAACAAAAACAAAACCAAACCAAAAAAAAAAAGTGACCAGAAGTCCCCCCCCCCCCCTGCGTTCTACGGGCCTACTGGGTCTGGAGTGTAATATTATGCATCACTGGAGAAAACAGTAGAGAAAACATATAGTGGATATAATGGGCAGGATTCTCCAGAGGCCAGAGGAATACAATACAAGAGGGATAACTCGTACATGTACACCAAATTGGAATGATAACACGTGGGGGTGATGAAAAAAATCGTGGACTGACAGACTCTCTAGCGCGATAAAATTCTCATGATTTCAACTTTGATGATTTTCATTTCGAATATTTACATACATGCATAAGTCTGACAAGCATACAAATTTACAAAAAAAATAAATAAATAAAATAAATTAAACAAATATGACCTCGTGCAAAAGGCTTCCCAGTCATTTTCGACGTCATTTACGTCACAAACATTTTTTTTTTCCAAAGTATTCCCCGTTCTCTTGGATAAATTTCTGGTGCTGGTTCACCCACATACTAAAACACATTTAACCAATTCCAGGTCATAGGATGAAATTATATCGACTAAGATCGCTTCATTGAATCTAGGGAACAGGGCAAAATCACAATGTCTGGGATTTTTTTTCCTTTGCAAGACAACTTTCAGGCACCACAAGAGTTGGTCATCCTTACAAATATATTTCCCGTCCATCCCTGAACCGATAATGCCACTTAGAAGTTAAGGATTTTTCCTTCCTCTACTTGATCTAGCATATTCAGCATTTCCGTTGGCTTTTTCTCATTCCACATCTATAGGCAGAAAAAAACCGTTTCATACTGTGGGAATACACTTTGCCCTCTAGTGATCCACCACCGTCATTTTTCCACTTACACATTTTAAACATAACTACATAACTACAAATTACCGTAAAATCGTTAAAAATGCTTAAAGTAAGGTCAAAGAACTATGCACGCTAACTCTTGATTCCCGCCTACAGTTTACGCCCATTTAATTCAATATTAATGGCAATTTGGCCAAAAAAAATCTCTTTTGAATGTAAAGAAGAGTTCAATGGAAATTGATTAATGATTTTAAATCTTTTTTGAATGCAAAGAAGAGTTCAATGGAAATTGATTAATGATTTTAATACTAGTGTCAAATAGTTAATTACTCTTAATTTCAACTCTTTTTATGTGGGGGGGGGGGGGGGGGGGGGGGGCTTGAAATCAGACTTTAAAGCATCACCAGATTTTGAAATATTCTTGGATATGAATAAATGACCCTCAATTTTTTTTCCTATATGTATGTATAACTTATGTTCAGTTAAACGTGTATGATTGAAAAAATACAATATTTCAGTTGTACACCCCTTTGAAGTTGGTGAAAAAATGATAATTTTTGTGGTTTTTTGTCTGTAAATATATGCCCCCCACCCCCCGGAAAGCAACAAAAGCTTTGGTATGAATTTGTAACGTTAAATAACAATTCTTAATACTTATAAAAAAGAATTTTTGTTTCACGGGATTGGAGAGGAGATGTTTTAAAGATATTTTCCGTTTTCCATACGATTTCAATAGTTAAAAACGCAAGTTTTACCAAAATTATAGAGTTATCTATCTTTATTTTCTCAAATAAATTATGTTTTGTGAAAATCCATATTAATATCTATTTAAGAAATAAGGTATCATTTTTAAACATCTATCGGGATATAAATACGGGTTGGTCACGAGATCAAATTCCATAAAGCCCGAAGGGCTTTATGGTAAATTTGATCTCGTACCAACCCGTATTTATATCCGATAGATGTTTAAAAATGATACATTATTACTTATATTTACATTTATGACTTATTCATATTTTATATTTTCCTGATTATAATCTTTCACGCGTGAAATGTTTTATTTTTCAAACTCAACGGCACGTATTTGATCCATTGTTTGCGCGTTGACCCTTTATGACGTCACTGAGAAATTACGTCGAACGTTTATGATGCGAGGAACCTGTGTTTATACGGATATAGATACGCGTTGCTTTCAATAGTGTTATATAAGGGAAAACATTTGCAAATGTAAATATATGAATATGTTAACTTTTGAAAATTGACTTGGAGGTAGACGGCAGAACTATACTTTCGTTCGTAGTTCTTTAAAAATTTAATGAAACAGATCTGTGCGGTCATTAGTATTTATTTTCTTGAAAATTGATTGAATAATGAGATTATTGTGCTTTCAACATTTTGACTACGTCCAGTTACATGTACCTAACGTTATTTGTGGTTGCGACGGGTATGTAAAACAAGTCGGTATATTTTTATTATGGCAAACCACGTTTCCAAAACTTGACATTACCTTTCCCAAAAAATAAGATTAATTTCGCATTTTTTAGGTCACCTGAGTGACTCAGGCGACTCATTGCTATCTGTTTTTGTCCGTCATCGTGCGTCGTTCGTCAACATTTGACTAATTTCACTATCCAAATCCTGGAATTTGCTAGTGTCCGACTTCACAGCAACAAAAAGTCGGGAGGGGGGGGGTGGGGGTGGGCAGACAGTATCTAAGGGAAAATTTATTATAGTGAAATACTGGAGGGGGGGGGGGCTCTTTTAATTATAGAGTGAAAATGCATTATTTCTTTGAAATTTTCTTCTCTACTAATGGGTATTAAGCAAGCTATATGCATGGTTATGATGAGCAAGGATGCCTCTTCCAAGATTGTGAATTTCGTGGCCCCTGGGTCAGGGGTTCTGGTGTTGGGACAGGGTTTTATGGTTATATATTGAAAATGCCTTAATTCTTTGAAAATATTCTTCTCTGCT